CACCCCCAAGCAAAGAATCAGAAGCTCCAAGAGCCGGGGGTGCCTCAGATTATTTAAGGCGGGGGTATCAGAATGGCCTTTAACCCACAAGAGAAGGGGACTGCTGTGGATCAGAGGCTGAATGGAGCTTTGGTGCTCAGCAGGCATCTCTCTCAGCCCCTACTCCTGTGGAAGTCGTCTTATGGGCAATGCTCCTGAGAACCTGAGAGTGAACTTCGGAGGCAAGCAGAAACTGTTTTAGTGGAGACAGGGAACAGCTGGATATGACGTCCTTGCTCTGTGTTTGTTTATCAGGGTGTGCCTGGTACTCGCATAATTGCAAGGATGTTTCATTTTCCTTGCCTTCAAAATGCAGAAAGTGTCTGGGGACAAGATAGGAAGTGTTGATCCAGAAACTCTTGTGTTTTCCCTGAAGCATTTTTCCCTCCTCCTCTCCGGGTTATTTCCAACAACCCTGTTTTCTTCGGTGTATAGGAGATGGAAGTTAAAAAGTGGTAAAGAGGTTAGAAACTGCACAGCCCTCCCCGACTCTGATACCCTAGCATGTAGTTTTTATTGTCAACCCCACAGGGCTGAGAAGTTATTTCCCAAGAAAGGATCTGAGTTGTGTCCTTGGAGATAGTGTAGTAAACAAATATAGGAGGTGATGTCTGGAGGGAACGGTTCACATGTCTAGTCTACCAGATGGACTTAGATGTCCTGCCTGAAGAGGTGTGGAAAGGAGAGTGACCCACTTCAGATCCACTGCAGAAGTGGAAAGGGAAACAGGATGTGGGGGCCGGGCGCAGAGGTGGGGAAGACAGGTGTGGATCGAGTTATACTTGCCCAAAGGTCCTTGGCGAGTTTTCTCAAGAGCGCTTGGTCCTTCCCGTAGCACAAGAAGCTGTGTGTGTACACGTTGTAGTCCCTGCCATACAGGCGGAAGAACAGAGCATTGTCTGGAGACTCAATCATCTGGTTTTCGGGCACAAAAGTGATTTGTGTCGAGGCTCCCCCCAGGTCCAAAGCCCCATAAGTTTCCTGGCTAGTGCTTTCATTTGGCAACAGGCTGAACCACGTTATTGTCTGAAAGAGAGTATACAGTTACCAGTGGTAGAAATCTGTGGGCACCCCCTCTTTCACACTATTTCTTGGACTCAGGAACTTCCTAAAGTGAAGGAACAGGGGCAGAAGGGTGGCACAAAGCTCATTGGAGGTTCCCGAGTCCACATCAGATTAACAGCAAGGAAAGAGGGGTTTCAAGGACAGAGCTCAGGTGCAGCAGTGTAGAAGCAGTAAGTACAGTCAGTGTTTATGAACGAGGGATGTGGGGCTGGAAAGACTCAAGGACAAGTCCTCGCTTATTTGCTCATTAGCTGTGTAACCTCGAGCAGAATAATTAACCTCCTCTAGGCCTCAATTTGGGGCTCTAAAATGAGAGAGCACCTCATATGGTTGTTTCGAAGATTAAATCATACAGTAAGTGCATGGAAAGTGCTTAACATAGCACAAGATGCACAGCACTGGGCAAATATTAGTTATTCTTATTTTTAATGGTAGATTGTTTTGTCTCTCTACAATGAGCGATGGCTTCCTTACTCTCCAATAGTAAAAGTTCTTGTAAGAGAATTGTACTTCCGGCCACCCTTGTAAATGTGGGGGTAAATTAATGTGTTCATTCATCCATCATTCACTCTGGCAGGCAATCCAAGTACTGCCTGAGACAGCAATGGCCTTGGCCCCTAGGGAGCCACTCCATGGGTGCTGTGACATAATCACCTTCGTGAATTTCCCCAGCAGGTAGTTGATAGTAATCCAGCCATAGGCGCCTTCCTCTATGCCCGTGATGATTCTGGCACCCTTGAAGTCAAAGGGGTAGTTTTCGAGGATCTCTGTCACCTTAGTCAGGACCTTCTCCGCCAAATTTGGGTTTTTAAGTCTACACAAAGGAAGAGCTGTGGTTACCGGTTTTGTTTTAGTAACTGCAACTACCCATTTCAGCCACAGCTTCCAGTCAGTTCTCCCAGGAAGTGAATGATAACTCACTGGAATAAGCAAAGAGATGGAAATACTCACACATGGCTGCCTGAGGGGCCCTCCTTTTGGGTGAGGCAGAACTACCTTTTGTCCCGTCTCTAAATCCAAATCCTTCCAATCCCTGAATAGGTTCATCTTCCTAAAATACCATGTTTGTTGTTTCCTGGCTCCAAAAACTTATCAAAGTAATTTTAATTACTGTGGTGGTGGTAGCTGGGTATTGTTTGATCACCACTCCTGGAGCTAAAGTTGCCACATTATTATTGCTGGTGGCTGCTAGCCGGTCACATACTCAGGCCCTGCTTGAGATTCTTAATAGGGCTGTAGTAGATACCAGGTGGCCAGTGTCCTGGGACAGATACCCAACCCCCAGTGGTGCCAGACTGAGGGAAAAAATCTTCCTTATATTGTGCCTCAGTTCCTGGGTCTGTCTGAGACCTTGAGACCTAAAGGAGGAATCTTCCAGGATTATCATAATGAAGATGGGATGCAATTGCTTCCAAGATGTAGACTGTTCAACATTGAGAGCCTCTGGGTCAGAGGATGCTGCCTTCCAGCTGGCATCCTGTAATCTCTCACCTGTATGACTTCCATACCCTACCAACAGCCCCCATGTCTCTAGTTTTCCTTCCCTCCGGCCCACCTTCTCTGCCAGTGGCACCAGTTGTGTAACATCACTTAATGGCTTCCCATTATCTCCCAAATAAACTCCAACCCCCCAGCATGCCCTACAAGGCACTATGTGGTGTGGACCCTGCCTTCTCAGAATCCCACCAGAATCCTGGCTCTGCCATTTATCAGGTGTGACCCTGGGTAACTTACTTAACATCTGTAAGTCACAGCTTCCTTATCTGGTTAAGAATAGTTAATAACTTCATAGAGTTATTATGATTAAAGCACAGTGATAAGAACATAGAAAGGGCTCAATAAACATAAGCTGCTAATATTATTACTACTATTATTATTTTACTATCTGCACCCTATGTTCTATCTATTTATAGTCCTCTGAACATGCCCTGGTCTCTCACACGTTTCTGCCTTCGCACATCTATGAGAAAGAACACAAGCTCCAGAAAGGAGTATCTGTATCCCCAGCACTTAGAATAGTGCCTGACCCATAATAGATACCAAATAAACATAGGTTATGGAATGTACAACGTCTGCTCTGCCTGTGGTGCCCTCGCCCCCCCCCAACTCATCCTTCATGATTCAGCGCACATGCCCTCTCCTCTGGTAAATCCGCCTGACCTGCTCCCATTCTGCACAGGGCAAAGGGTGCTCCTGTAGCAGCTCTGAGCAGCCTTCTAGTAGAGAACTGATCACCCTGTATTGAAACTCTGATCTCCTTGAGGGCTGAAGTTACCTACTTCCCTCCATATCCTGGGACAGAGTAGGCAGTCAATACATGCTGCATGAGTGAATAAATGAGTGAATGAATGAGTGAATGAATGAATGAACGAACAAAAAAATAATGCACACAAATACTAAGTGGTGACCAATGAAGATGTGCTAGTTGTGATTATTTGTGTGTTGGGACATGTGACTCTCCTTGGGTCTTCCCCCTCCCGGAGACTGAATGGCTAAATCTGTAGCCCCAAATCCCAGAGTATACAGGCTCAATCTGTGCCTCTTTGTGCCCCCACCCTCTTGAATTTCCTGTGGGGAGAAGAGCAAGAGGGATTTTTTAGAAACACACTTAGCCCTGGCTGGTTTGGCTCAGTGGTTAGAGCATTAGCCTGCAGACTGATGGGTCCCCATTCTATTCCAGCCGAGGGCACGCACCCAGGTTGCAGGCTTGATCCCCAGCTTGGTCAGGGCACGTGCTGGAGGCAGCCAATCGGTGTGTCCCTCTCACCCTGATGTTTCTCTCTCTCTCTTTCTCTCTCTCTCTCTCCCCCCCCTTCCACTCTCTCTGAAAAGCAATGGAAAAAATATCCTCAGGTGAGGATTAAAAAAAAAAAAATTTTTAAAAACAAACATCATACTTAAACCTCCAAAGTTACACATCCTAAGAGTCTGGGAGCTTTCCCCACTTACTGAGATTCGGGATATTTAGAGCCGTAGGCGTTAGGGAAGTGTGGCAGTCTCCCGTAATTTCAGAGGCTCCTTGCTCTGCAAGCCTAACTCCCCCTGCTCCTGGTCCCTGTGTGTTGCTATACCTGAGCAGCCGCATGCCTGCCGTGGCTCCCAGGTAAAGGGGTGTCTCGTGGTACCGGGAGATTGGAATCATTTGCCTGGCTTTTTCCATGCATTCAGTCAAATAAATGCTTAATTCATGTGGTTTATAAGCATATTTTGAGATTCCAGGACCTAGGAAAAGATGTAGAAGCAGATGACATTTTTTTTTTTTTTAAGTATAGAACATACCTTGACAATATTAGAGCAAAATACTGGTGTTTTCTGATAAAATTCAAGAAGAGAATTTCTTGGTGTGATATATATTAGTTTGCTTTACTGAGAGGGGTTAACTCATTGAACCAGCCCAGCCTTGGTAGGGACTTGTTTTCAGACCTCTGGCTGGGTCTGTCTGCTGTTCAAAATTTTTGCCACCGGGTGGTGCAACTTTCACATTCAATTGCATAGCCTTCCTAACAGGTTGATTTTAATGGGAATCTTATAGATAGCTACTCTATACAGCTACTTTTTCACGTTTCTTCCACGAAACTGTAATTAACAACACTAATTCTAGAAGATTTAAAAGGATAAAGATGACATTTAAAACAAAAATTAAAACAAGCACCAGACACATTGGCTTTTACTGAAAAGATAGGAACTGCTACTAACTAGCTACGTAATCATAGCTAGTTTGTGATCATAACTATACCCCTAAAATTTCTGAAGCAGCGTTTCTTTCTGTTAGGAGAAACAGGAATAGCATCCATGTCTCCTCAGTGATTTTCCACTCTGATACCCTGCCTCCGTGATAATACTGTTTTTCCAGTTGTAGAGCAAAATTAATTGTTGCTATGGACAGGATTAGAGCCACGATTCTTTAAGCTTCTTGAAGTTGGCAATTTCAGTTCACTTTAAGATAAACATCCACACTGTCAGTGCTTCCTAGAGATTATAAAATTTGGTTTAAAGATAAGTATCCAGATACGCTATCCATATCATTCACAGGTTTTTAAACAGCCTGGTTACTTAGCTGTCATCAGAAAATCAGCTCTGAGTTATCAGCTAATTGTTTTAATACAAAAAGTCTGGCCTTCAAGAATGGGTGGGGCCCAGCAACTGAGCTTTAACAAACCCTCCAGGTGGTTCACATTTAAGAACCAGTGGCTGAGACATGGGTTTGAAGTTGGGCAGACCTCCATCTGCGTCCCAGTTCCATCACTTACTAGTGCAAGTAACCTGGAACACGTGGCATGACATCTATAAACCTCAGTGCCCTCATTTTTAAAACTGGGAGTAAGGGTGCATACCTCACCGAGAGAGCGTGAAGGTGAAATCACATTTTCAGTACTTAGGTTGGTGCGTGGCACACAGAAGTGTCCTGTTGATGGCCGGAAGTACTACTCATTTATTTTTAGGTTTGTTTATGCTGCAAGGGCTCAATCATCAAGGACTGATTTCAGTATTATTTCCATGACAGTGATAAAATAGCAGCAGCAGCCCCACTGTGTTCTTCACTTGACTTGCCTCTCTTCATGTGTTCCCCTTGCCACGTACGCCTCATGTCCCACCGCGCCCCCCTTCATCATCTTACCTTTTACCTGGCACTGTCCTATCTGATTCACCACCCCTGTGTCGTTCTCCTTTTCTGCCGGCCACATATAGGTATACAGAGTCGTGTGAGAAGAGCCGGCGTCCAGCACAATCCCATACTGAGGGGAAAACAAACCGAGAATTTATCAGCATCACAGTGTCCTCCGTATTCAGCTTGCCACAGAAAAAAGACAAAGACGAGAGTTTTCGAACACATGAGGAGAAAGTACTTTAATTCAAGAGTGGGGCATTGCCTGGAGTTGCCCCGATCACAAGACCTACCAGAACTCACGTCGCTCCAGCACAGTGGCTCTCACTGCTGGCTCCACATTAGACATACCCAGGCCTGACCAGGGTGGGGCCTGAGCGTCAGCATTGTCTAGAAGCTTCTCGGGTGGTTCTAATGTGCAGCCAAGATCCTGAACCATATGCCAAAGTGTGGAGACAACAGGGAGGAAATAGAAAGCCACTGATTCAGTAGTTCCCAACCTTGTATGCATAGCAAAATGATCAGAATCACCTGGAGAGCTTCAAAGGCCGAGGATGTCCCACCACCCAGATGTGTAATTTAAGGGTTCTGGTATGCGGTCCGGCCTTTGGAAGAGAGACATGGAAAATACTAAATGTGCTTGCTTTTTTATTACGAATTAACTATAAGCTGTATTTGATACATTTTAAGAGATATGTACTTTAACTTCATGTTTGGGGCTCTTAAGAGTTGGGGGAGATGAAAGGAAGAAAGGATGTCGGGGAGACAGCATGAGTAAGGACTAGACGGTCAGAGAATGGGGAGAACGAAGTCCCACCCCACGTTTCACGAGTATGTTCAATGCACCAGCAGGTGTTGCATGAAGCATTTTATAAGAATTACCTGACTTAACCCTAGTAGTAAATTAGGTACTATTTTTATCCCCTCTGCAAAGGTGAAAAACTAAAGTGCAAAGAGGTTACGTAATTTACTCAAGAGACACAGCTAACGGGTGACAGAGCTTGGATTCGAATCAGTCAAGAGCTTATGTTCTGTAGACAGAGAAGTACAGGAGCAAGGGCTGGACAGCAGCTTCCGTATCAGTGCCCCCTTTTAAGAACCTCTAATGAAGGAAACTATAGCAAAGTATGCGAATCCCAGCTGTGAATCCCAGTGAATGTCTGCATCTGTGCACATCCACGTAAACCACCATCAAGGTCAGGATACAGACCATTTCCTAGTCCCCAGAAGGCTTCCTGGTGCCCCTGTCAGTGTCCCACAGGTAACCACTGTCTTGACTTCGTCACCAGGGGTGAGTTTTGCCTGTTTTTCGACCTGCAGTAAATGGACTTACATAGTGTGCTTGCCTTATGTCCAATTTCTTTCACTCTACATTGTCTCTAAGATTCACTCAAACTGTGCGTATCAGTGGTTCCCTTTTCATTTTGCAGAGTTTTCCATTATCCGCATATCCTATGTCTTTTATCCGCTCTCCTGTTGACGGGCATTTGGGTTGTTGCCAGCTTGGGACTGTTGGGAATATGCTGCCAGGAGCATTCTTGCACATTTCGCTTTGCGGAGTGAGCGCTCATTGCTCCGGGGCGTTTGCCCAGGACTAGACTGAGGAATGCCCCTTCTCATCAATTAATATTCACCTCTGGTTACACCCCCGGGGTTAATCAGGAAAAAATGCCCTGATTGAATAATGATGTGTACCATAGGCTTTTGAGGGGCACAAGTACTTTTCATTCACCATCCCTCCCCCGGAGAGAAAAATGGAGGAAAGTAAACGGGGGAGGGGGGGCAAAAGGAAGAGAAACGGAGGAAGCGCGCCTCACGCTCGAGCTAACTGCCCTCATCACACTTCGCTGCTCATTTGAGCTGTGCACCTCCAAGTGTGGCTGCATCCCCCC